CAGTTCCCCCGCCTGCGGGCGATGTTGCCTGCTGTTGGGAGTAAGGTTGTCACGAATGCTTGGCTGCCTTCCTGTTGCCCATGGGATGTCGAACTGTGCGATGTATCTGTTCATGAGTGTTTTCCATGTATTGCGACACTGCGCTACTTCCATCCAGTGTGTGCCTGCTACGGCTTCTAGTGTGCGTTCTACGTCCCCCTCCGGGTTGAATCTGCTGGCGTGCGTGACTCGCTGTCGCTGTGGCTTGCTTTGTTCTCCCCTCCAAAAGGCCATGTTTTTCCAGGCCACCATTGCACTCACCTCAGGTCCCCCCCTTGCCATGTGTCCCCACAACTGCCATATTCTGCTGAGCACATACGAGGACCATCTCTGCTCCCCGATTCTGTGGAGGTGTAGTCTTGCCTGCCGGAGGGAGCGGGCGTTCCAGCTGGCCCACTCCTCCGTGGGCAGTCTGTTGATGTGGAGCATGTCACGGAAGTGCTGTGTTTGCATGGAGTTGACTGCCTTTAGTAAGCTGCGGTGTGGCGGCCATGTTTCGCACGCATAGAGACCTGCGTTTCTGACGAGTGTGAGGTAGGCTTTTGCTCTGCTTTTGATGTTCGTACGCGCGGTAAGGATCTGCTTGTGCTTCCGGAATGCGTTCCGGCTCCTTCGACTCATCTCTGCTATGAGGGCTGCAGTCTGGTCGTGGAAGGTGATGGGTGACCCCAGTGTGGAGATGACTGTGCGGTAGTCGCTGCAAGCAACTGTTTCCCCCACTATTTCGAATGTGCCTCCTCCGGTGGGTTTGCTGTAAAGGATGGCGGTCTTGATTGGGTGGATATGCAGTCCATCCCGCGCAAGCTCCCCCTCCAGGTTGTGGATGACTTTTTGGAGGTGGCTGCGGTCTTGGCTCCAGAGGTAGGTGTCGTCAAGGAAAGATCCCCCCACTCGCGGTGGGGGGGGGCCCCCCTTGGGGTCGCGGGGTTGGGTGGGGGCTTGTGAGATGGCCGTTTGGAGGTCTCTAGCGACGATCGCCCCGAACAGGTCTGGTGAGTCCGGCGATCCCTGCCGGATGCCGTTTGTTTGGGGCACTGTCGTGATGCTGTCTGCAATGGCTACGTTGAGGGTACGCGTCTCGAGTATGCTCAGCCAGAAGAGCGCCTCCCACGGGCAATCCCCCGAGGAACAGGGTTTCTGTCCGAAGCGACCCCCCCGACTCGTGCAGCAACAAGTCCCCCCATACTGTGTTGCCATACGCTGTCGAATGCCTTACGTATGTCCAACTTGACAAGCCACGTCCCGACTCCCCAATCGCGCGCCATCTGTGTCACCCTCCGGATCGTGGCCACGAGCTCAACGCCCTGTCGCCCGGCTCGGGCCCACTGGAGCAGGGATCCGCTTCGAATGTGCCCCCCCGCTCGTGCCAGTAGAAGCTGCGAGGCCCACTTCAGCAGGGTGGACGATAGCGTTATCGGCCTGGTGTCCCCCCATTCCAAAGGGCACGGGATCTTCGGCAGTAAGACCGTGATCCCCCGGTCGATCGACTCTGGGATGTGGGCGGTGTAGAACATGTCGTTGAGCAGGTATGCGAGCTTCCCCCCCCATTGGATGTCTGCTAGGAGTGCTTTGGCTGCTTCGTGTGAAATCCCGTCTGGGCCAGTGCTGCGGTTGTGTGCCCATGGGTGCGATGTGTGCTGGAGCTCTTCGTGGGAAAAGGGGATCCAGGGTGTATGTTTGCATCTTCGCCTGAGCTGCTTCTTGAGGGTCGCCATGTAGGCGATCCCCCCGGGGGGTTGGGGTTTGGCAAAGATGGCTTTGCATGTGCTCCCCCAAGCGCTCTTGCCACTGTGGGTCGTCCTGGAGCTGTAGGTGCCACCCCTTGTGTGTGTTGTGTGTCTGCAGGGAACGCATAGCCCTCCAGTCGAGGTTCGCTGCTTTTTCCGCTTGCTGCTGCATCCAAGCTCTGTGTTCTTGTTTGCGTGTTCTGGAGACCAGTTTCCAAGCCTGTCTTGTCGCTGCTCCTGCTGCGGCTTGCTGGGCTATGTGTCGGAGTTGTTTGAGGCGCTGGCTCTCTTGGAACTTGTTGCTCCCTCCTCCGGGAATGGTAATGGCTTTGGCTATGGCTGCTATCACTTGGTGGGGGTCCTCCCCCTTTGGGGGTGGTACGGAGAACAGCTTCTGGATCTGGCCCTCCGGCCGCAAACGCCGCGGTCCCCACGTGGTGCGTGCTGGCCCTCCCCCCTTGTGGGTGCCCACCGGAGCTGCGACTGCATCGTGGTCGGATGCTGCTCTGTCTTTGATCGGGAGAACCTTCCCTTCCCCAGCCGTGATATGTTTGGTGGCTAAGTAGTCGATGCGCCTGGGCTGCTGGCTGTGGTTGTAAGGGTGGTAGCTGGGTACGTGGAGTTGTTGCGGGGGGAGGGTGTAGTCCTCCTGGGTGAGCCAGTTCAGGATGGTGTGACCCCTCCCGGTGTTGGCATAGCATCCTTTGCCGCTGGGGGGGGTGGTAAAGGTCTCATTGGCATCAAAGCCTAGGATGGCTCTTCGAGTCTGGGTGGCGTCCCCCCATCCACTCAGCATTGCCTCTGCTTGCGCGATCGTAGCATGGTGCGGGATGTGCCCCGCGATGGCTGTGCACGCTAGGTCGCCTTGCTTGCTGCGGAGTTGTGTGGTAACTGCTCCCGGTAGTACTCTGCTGCGGTGGTGCGAGAATGTTGTTGTGTGTGCCACTCCCTCTCCTCTGAATTCTCCCTCCATCTTGCCAAACACGATCTGCCACGAATCGGACTCAGCATGATGTAGGCCGGGCTCGGTAATTATTTCTTGCAAAAGGACAAACTGGATATCGTGCAGTTCTGGACTCCCCCCGAAGGCGTCGAGGACCTCCAACATCTTGTCTGCTGAGAGGCCTCCCACATTCCAGGTAGCTGTCCACAGCAGGTTGGCTTCCCCCCATCCGTGGGATGAAACTCGTGCTCAGGGCTGTCTCAGTTGACCTCCGCCTTGAGCGGGGACCATGTCTTCTCCAGGGCATCTTGGGTCACCTTGGCCAGCTTGGCGATGAGCGGGGTGTTCACCCAGCCAGGGCCTGCTTCCTCGGCCCCTGGCGATTTCGAGAAGGGCCTTGTCCCCCCCGAGAGTCAGGTAAAGTCTCTTGGTTTTTGCCGCCAGACGAGCTCTGCGCCGGCGTTCTGGTGGTTGCGACATGGCTATCCACAATCGCCTGGGGGCACCATCAGCTCGCACCCCCAAATGCATGTTTGCTGCTCGTACTTTGGCGATGACTTCTTGCACCCGCTGTTTGCGCTGGTCAAATGTCTCCCCCGGCCTTTCGTCTACCGGTAGGATTGCGTAGCCGCGGCGTACCCCCGGCACGAAGATATTGTCCATCGCAATGGGCGCCTCCACTGACTTCAGGATGTCGGTGGCCTCCCGCTTGGTAGTCTGTGCCTCTTGGTCAGCGTCCCATCCGCCAATGATGAGGGCGGGCTTTCGCCCCCCTTCCGAGGGCGGTGCGGCGGTGCTCCCCGCAACAGACGATGCGGTTCCCCCCCGCTCCAGCTTGTCCAAGCGCGCGTGCACTTCTCTATTCGCTTCCTGGAGTTGCTCGAGGATCCCCCCGTGCTCAGCGTGCTTGTTGGTCATCTCGTCGAGGAGGTTGATGGTCTGCTGCATTTGCTTGGTGACTTGCGATTCGACATGGTCGACTCTTTGAGCGAAGTTCCTGATGTCCTTGCGTACTTCATGAAGTTCTCCCCGTATTGCTTCTCCAATGGCCTCACGTATGGTTTCCAGCGAAAGCCCCCCTGCGCTATCATCGGGTGCCCGTCGCTTCTGAGGCCCGTTGCCTTGGTGATCAACCTGCATTCCCTCCTTTGGGGAGGCCTCCCCTCCAGATCCCAGTGACGGTGGCATTCTTGGTGGCGAGCTGAAAGTAGCACGTTGCACAACGTACTCAATCTGTACGACCCCTCAACAAAGTCCCGAATCCCCCCGGGCAGGTTCTGTGAGCAAAGGCCGCCGATCGCGGTCGCAAAGCTGTGCACAGACTCCCTCACGCGCCTCGAAGAGTGATGCCCTCCGGGTGCACTCTTGACGATGTCCCCGGTCCGGACCCCCGCGAGGAAGAGAGTGTGCTTGCCGTACTCCCCGCGGTCACTGATGGCTATGGGCAGAGGCAAAGGAGAGGCAAAGCGCCCGGGTTTAAGGTTGGTCGCCCTCGAAGCAAGAAGGAAAGAAAGACCCCCCCCGGGCGGAGAGAGACGACCCAACCTTGAGCACTCACGGCCTTGAGCCAAAATGGCTACTCTCTCTCTCTCTCTTTTCTTTCTTTCTTTCGCCAGGGCTACAGCCGAGGGTTGCCCCTCGACCGCGCGCTTCAAGCGCTCTCTCTCTCTCTCTCTCTCTCTCTCTTCTTCCACACAGACAAGAGAAGGGGCGTCCCCCTCCCCTGCACGCTGTGTTGTTCATGTGCATCACTCCATCTATCTGCATCTTTCTGTTGTTTCATCGTTCCCAGTGCTGTGCTACTCCACCACTCCACCGATATTCCATTGCACTATGCCCGTATTCCGGCAGTCTGCTGTTCAATTGTTCCGCACATCTGCTACTACTGTGTCGCTCCAGCGTGGCACAAATGACCCGAACTGACCTCGCTGGCCAAGCTGGCGGCCAGGTGCTCTGGCAGTTCCAACCTGCATCTGTTCCACTAGACTGGACACGATGTGATGAGCTGCACGAAACTGGTCTAATTATGCTGCGTAGCATCTAACCGGCAATATGCTTCAAAAGAACATGGCATGCGAGCACTATGGCATGTGGTGACTTGGCATGAGGAATCTTCCAAGCACCCACACGCCTGCACCCGCCGCAAGCGTTGAGGATCTTCGGCTGCCCCGGCTGCACTCGCACCCGGCGCATGCCCTGACAAGCAAAGCTTCGCAGAGAACCCCGCGCATTGTGCATCTTCTGGACGGCTCTCCCTGGGGTTGCTTCCTTGGTGCAAAGTTCCGGTCATGTGCTCTGCTCCCACCCGGCCTTGTTGGACTCCTCGCTGGAGACTCCGTCGCCTTGCTCCAGGTCCTCTGTGGGTGGCTGGGAGCGGCTCTGCATCTCTATCTCTGACAGGTCGAGCCTGCGCCTGCGCCGCCTGGGGCTTTGGGCTCGTCCGGCCCTCGCTGTGTTCTTGGCGCCGAGAGCCCGGAGACCTCGACAACTGCTCTTCCAGGCTCAGGCGACTCATTGCCACGGCCGGGTGAAAGGAAAAGAGACAGAATGAGACAACGGAGACGGAGAAGAGGGGAGGGGAGGGGAGGGATGGCGAGAGAGCCCAGAGGTGCTTTTCAGCCTTCCTCTGAAACAGCTGGGTCACGAGTGCACGGGTTTGTCTGCCACAAACAGCTCCGTCTGCTTGACATTCCCGCGAATACTCTGAAACGCCTCCATATACTAGGCTTCACACGTGTACAGGCGGACCTCGGATGCACGTGCAACGCATGCAGGAGGCAAAGCACGGCTGTCGGATCAAAAAATGAAAAATGACCAACAAACAAATTAGCGTAGCGGATCATTTAAAACAGTGTTCGGCTGTTCTTTCTTGTTGCAAACAGTGTAATTTGCAGCGCAGATGCCAGTCGTTGCAGAATTTCCAACATTTGTGGCGGCTCACAGGCTAGCATGTTGTGAAACCGCTGTAGCTTCTACTATTTCCAAGCTTCAAATGCTGTGAATTGCAGCATTTCTGAAGTTCCAACACCGTGGACATGTTGTCGATTACTGCATTTCCGCTTGTTCACAGGCTGGAGAATTTCCAGCTAGCCACGTGCTTCAATGAAGTAAAACTGTGATATCGATGCTGTTGTCGTTGTCATCGTCGTAGTAGCAATGGACGTAGAAGCAGCAGAGTAATAGTGCAAGTAATACTTGTAGCAACAGCGGTAGTAGTAGTAGTAGTAGTAGTAGTAGTAGTAATAGCAGTAGTAGTATTAGTAGTA